CATATCTACTCAAGTACAACAACTCTCAAAGCTGAAAATCACAATTCTGTTCCACATAACAGCTTTCATGGCTGTAAAGCACAGATCCATTTCATGCAAAAGCTTTTATGGCTGCAAAGCACAACCCAGTTTGATTCAGGGTGTGTAATCTGAAATACCCTTTTATTTCTGATCATTGATTGGTGATAATAGCTAAAAGATTCTTGCAGACCAGTTAGAAAAAACACTTATGGACACATCTGGCCTGTGGGCCACAGATATCCTGACCTTGCTCTATAGCTTTGTATAATGAATGTGATGTAGTGACTTTAAAAAAAAGAAAAAAAGAAAAAAAAGGGGGAGTGACAATTCAATGGCAGATAGATCTAGCCATGGCTATTAGTCATCATAGCTAAGTAGAACCTCCACTTACAAAGGCTGAACATTAGAGAACAAGCAGAAATGATCTGGCTGGGATTTCCCTGGAGGATGTAGCTGGTTGGAGAAAGAACATTGGGCCAAATGGTCTGATCCGAAATTGCAGTGGAGATATTGATATTTTCGGAGTGTACGGTAATCAAGTGATGAATAATGAATGCTAAAATGTAGTTGCTTCTGAGGATAGCATCCCACAAAGTGTGCACAAGCTATACTAATTTCTTGCCCACATCTTGATATTTGGTTATTACTAGCAAGGGTAGGGGCCAGCAGGGGACTCCTTGCCTTGTTGGGAGTTCATGTGGGCCAGTGCTTCAGGTGCACATTGGAGGCAAGTTTCTAAAACTAGAAGTAACCATGGGGACAGGGTTATAGTAGTGGTGATGAATTTTTTCCTTTTCACAGTTCCCCATGGATTCCTTTCTCCCCACCCCCAGCTTTACACTCCTAGAAGGAGGCAGTATTTTCAGCACTGTGGGAGTGGTGAATTGGTTATACAGGCACTTATCACATCGTGGCTTTGGGTTGTATATCAGCTGTCCGGATGCTGAAATTAAACTAGAAATAATAATAATAATAATAATAATAATAATAATAATAATAATAATAATAATAATAATAATAAAGTTTATTTATACCCTGCCCAATGGAGACCCAATCAGGGTGGCTTACAAGTCTAAAAAATAGGTCCAGCACATAACTCATGTATAACGCAAAGCAGTGCAGGAGGAGTGATCATAAAACCAACAGTGATTTCACTGTCCATACAGTAACAGCACAGCAATTGATCCTGCCTGGGTACCATAAGGTACAAACAGCTCTTGTACTGGGGAACTGACCCATGGTATAGGATGGGTAACACCTGGCTTGACTACAGTGCACGTGAAAGGAATCTAGGAGTCTTAGGGCCTAAGCAGATGGCGCAAAGCCTCACGCTGGGCACCCCAACCCTTTCCCCAAAACATCGTCGGAGCAGCAGGCCTTCCGCATGGCCGGCGCTCCGACGACACACTTCCGCTGCAGCATCCGCACACACTGCAGCAGAAGAGGCGCCAAAGGAGCAGAGACGCTGCGCCGTGGGGCTGAGAAATGCGGATGCCTCGGCCCTGATCTGCAGCTTCCCGGGGTGGCCCCGTGCCACCCGTCTGCTTCTCCCCTTAGTAAACCACAAGCTGCACATGAGGCAACAGTGTGATATGGCAGCTAAAAAAAATTAATGTGATTGAAGGCTGTGTCAACAGCAGTATAGTGTCTAGATTGAGGGAAGTAATAATACCATTCTGTTCTGCTTTGACCAGACCTTACCTGCAATATTGTGTCCAGTTCTGGACACCACAATTCAAGAGGGATATGGACGAACTGAAGTGTGTCCAGAGAAGGGCGATCAAAATAGTAAAAGGACTGGAAACCATACCTTATGAGGGGAGGCCTAGGGAGCTGGGTATGTTCAGCCTAGGATGTTATACTGAGGATAGAGCAAACTTTTATTCTGCTGCTCCAGAGACTACATTGAGCAGTGGATTCAAACTACAGGAATAGAGATTCCACCTCTACATTGGGAAGGACCTCCTGATGGTAAGAGCTGTTCGACAGTGAACTATGCTGCCTTGGAGGGCGGTGGAGCCTCCTTTTTTGGAGGTTTTAAGAAGAGGCTGGATGGCCATCTGTCGTGAGTGCTTTCATTGGGCATTCCTGAATGGCAGAAGCAGTTTGGAGTAGATGGCCTTTGTAGTGTCTTCCAACTATAGGATTCTATTATTCTGTAATTCTGTAATAGAGTTCTACTTGACCATATGAGCTTCTGACTCTGAACTAGTGTCTTAGTCCAAGCTCATTGTTTGGGTTTTCTTGATGCTTCAAGAACAAAAAGCTGTTGCTCAGTGGTTTAAGTCCAGACTATCTGAAAGACCGTATCTCCCTGTGAGCCTGCCAGCATTTTAAGATCTTCAGAGGAGGGCTTTCTTTCAGTTGCACCAAAATCATAAGAATGTTTGGAAAGGATGTGGAAGAAGGCCTTCTTGGTGGCTGCTCCCAGGGCCTGAAATTCTGTCCCAGAAGAGGTTAGGTTAGCACTATTTTCTGCCCTCTTTCCCCTAGCAGACAGACACTTTGTTTGCTATCAGGTCAGAATGCATAGGGAAACCATCGAAATCCACAAACACTTGGATAACTTCATCAGGAAAGAAGAAACCCTTAAAGTAAACAAGGTTTGGCTACCAGTCCTACAAAATAAGAAAATCAGCATTCAGCAAATGCAAATGGGAAACCCACCAGGTTCAGGGGCTTTCCCAGCAGACAATAGCAGACAATATCCTTGTTTGCATGTCCTCCCACCCTGAAGCCATGCCACTAACAACAGAACAATACCTATTCAACACAGAACAATACACAGTTTACATGGGAATCACTCCTCCCCACCCAGAGTTTTACAGCATATATACACCCACTCTCTTCCATTCCAGCATTCTCTGAAGATGCCAGCCATAGATGCTGGCAAAATGCCAGAAATAAACTCTTCTAGAACATGGCCACACAGCCTGAAAAACCCACTAAAAGCTACTTTGTTTGTTTGTTTAGGTTTTGTGCTATTAACTGAAGGCTATTTTGATATGGTGTGCTGTATGAGACCAGTGTGGCATAGTGATTTAAGTGTTGAACCGTGACTCTGGAGACCAGGGTTCAATTTCCAGCTCAGCCATGAAACCCAGGGGAGCCCAAAACATGATAAAAATGCCCCCATACCCTAAAAAAAAAAAAACAACACTTGGTCTATATAGGAGCGTGGTGTAGTGGTTTGAGTGATGGAGTATGACTCTGGGGACCAGATTTTGAATCCATGCTTGGGCATGGAAACCTACTGGGTGCTCTCAGGCAAGTCATACTTTCTCAGCATTGGAGGATGGCACTGGCAACCCCCCTCTGAAGAAACCTGCCAAGAAAACCCTGATAGGTTCACCTCAGAGTTGCCACCAATCAGAAATAACTTGAAGGCACACCACAACAAATTTTCATGAACAGTATCTAACAGAAATAGCTGGCATTTCCAGGGGTGGAAAAAGAGTACCCATGGAATCCATGCAGACCTCAGGAATTGCTTTAATGGCCCCTGAAGACCTCAAAACTCTACACCTCACTTTTTCCCCACACCAAAACATCTGAAAAAAGTTAAAACTGACTGAAAACCAGGACATTTTTCTCCCTTTGTTGTTGTTGCTGTTGTTGTGTGCCTTCAAGTCGTTTCTGACTTATGGTGATCCTAAGGCAAACAATCACAGGGTTTTCTTGGCAAGTTTCTTAAGAGGGGGTTTGCCATTGTCATCCTCTGAGGCTGAAAAACTGGTACTTGCCCAAAATCACCCAGTGGGTTTACATGGCTGAGTGGGGATTTGAACCTTGATTTTGCTATTTGACACCATTTCACTATGCCATTGTATATAATGGGACTTGAGCATCCATGGATTTTGGTATTCATGTGAAGTCTTGAAACCAAACCCCAGTGGATACTAAGGGTCCACTGTAATTACATTTATAGGTCAAATCACACACACACACAATTTTTTGATAGTCAATTGCAGCTTTTTGGAGACTCAAGTCCAGGATGCCTGAAAGAAATGGTGGGGAAGGGGTTCTATAGGATCCTGGGGAGTTGCACAAGGATCCTAAGAGGGTGCCATGTGACCCACAAGTAACATTGATTTTTTTTAAAAAAAGTTACATATTACATTTATGACACCAATGGCCTCAAAGAAATAGACTTCCCTGTGGAATGCTGATGTTTGATCTTGAGTAAATGAGGATCTTGGAATGTAGGAAAGCAGAAGCTGATAATGGTGTCAATGATGCAGGATGCTTTGGTGTGGCATGAACTGAATTTTATCGACATGACTTTTTTGATGGCACACAAGGGAGGAAAGTCTTGAGACTCTTAAAGAGCTCTTTTCCAGAGGATGGCTCATTTGATCTTTGTACCAGACTGCTTTGTCATATATTATGTATAAGATGTTGAGTATCTGTGAAGTTAATTGGGAAAGGACACAGTTGCCATTTTCTCATTCCCCCTTCCTCAGTCAAAAATCTGTCAATCTTTGCTGGGAAACAAGACAGAAGTGATGGCCAGACACAATTGCCATAATGAAATCCAGGATTAAGCATACTCTAGAATATTGATTTAAATGGCTTTACATTTGCATTGGGTTGGAGCCAACATTCTAAAGATATCAGCAAATCAAAGGGGCTATTGAGATTTTTAGAAGGCCAGTGGGAAATGTCAGGGGGTTCCATAGAAAGAACATGCCGAGATTGTACTGGAAAATGTATCATTTGGGAAATGGTGTGATTTTACTCTCCTTTTCACCATTTTCCAGGAAAAGATGGCATTTATGATGAAAAAGATGCAAATAAGCCTCCTGACCCAAACATTTCTCATATTTACTGTAATAATGTAGACATACTAGGTTGAATGCTGGGCCTCTAAGCCCTCCAGTTATTGGCTGAAGTTCCACGTTTCTTCAGAGAGGGTTCTCTTTGCCAACCTATAAGGCTGAGAGAGTATAACTTGCCCAATATCACCCAGTGGGTTTACATGCCTGAGCCGGGATTTGAACACTGGTCTCCCAGAGTCGTAGTCCAATGCTCAAGCCATTACACCACACTGGCCCTCATTCTATAGCTAGGCATTAAAGAAGTGGCAGCAATGAGAATGCTCAGAGGCAGTGACCTATCTGTTGTCAAGCAGGGAGTTTAGACAGGACAAAGAGAAAACTTATCTTCATGGTGACTTTCATAAAGGCACAATGACTGCTTGGACAGCAGAGTGTCTAGTGGAGAAACAACAATGCTTACCATCAGGTAGTTCTTCCTAATGCTTATCTGGAATCTTTTCTTTCGTGTAATTTGAATCTGCTTTCTGCACTAAAGAAACTCTGGTTCAACCACATTGGTTATTCAACCACTTCTAGTATTGGTTTGGGTGTTGTTGTTTTCATTTTTTAGGCCACTGGTAAAGTCTCTGGTGGGTCTCAGGGACAGGATATTATCCTTCAGAAACACCAAAACTGTCAATGTCTTTTTTAAAGCACTATGAAAACTAAGGTCTAATCTGCAATGCAGAATTAACACAGTTTGATACTGTTTTAAGTGCTATGGCTCAATGATATGGAATTGTGGGATTTGTACTTTGGTGAGATATTTAGCTTTCTCAGTCAGAGACCTCTGGTGCCACAACAAACTACAAATGCCCAGATTCTGTAGGATGGAGCCATAGTAGTTAAAATATTGTCAAACTGTATTATCTCTGCAGCGCAGATTACACCTATGTTTGTCAGTATTGAAAATGTTCACACAACAGGATTACAGGACACATAAAGCAGAATTTGCCCACTCCTACCTTCCCTGCTAATTGAGTGCAAGTTTTGAAATCAGTTTTCTGCACTTGAAATAAGCTGAGAACAAAGGGAAAGTGGGAGGGAGACAGATAAATTGGGACATTTTAAAAGCAGCTGAAAAGTGGGATGACAGAGAATTATTTGGGCCTGTCCCTGCCAAATGGGGACAATTGGAGGGTATGCTGTCATAGAAAACATAGTGTGCCAAATCTCCTTAAATCTTTTAATAGCTTTGTATGACTTAGAAATAAGATGACAAATGTTTCTGATCTGATATTGTTCATGTTGGACTTCGTTTTGGAAAATGAGGCCTTACATTCACTGTGGTCTTTTTATATTAAACATGTTGCACATATTACTAGGCAGAATGGATTGAGGGTCAGGGTACAGATGAGATGGGAAGCAAATGTAATGATACATGTAACTTTATGTACTTTCCTGTCAATTTGTCATATTATTATAATGACCTTTATTATGGGCAGAAAATGATTCACAGCTTGATGACTTGCAAAATAACTTAGTGCAACCTTTTCAATGTCAGCTCGCAGTCCCAAAATGCATAATTGCAGCTATATAAAAGGCGCTCCTTGTTCTCCAGATGTAAACTGGACAGATTGTGGTTATACATTGTTATACAGACTAATTTCTTTGGAATATGGCAGGATGGAGGAAATGGGGTGTCTTCCCTGATGCAGGATGAGATGGCCCATCCTTCAATCCACATGCAACTCTTTCATTTGCTTATTCAAAACCTTTCTATACTGCCTATCCTACTTCTTGGAATGGTTCACCATTTTAACTATAATAAAATCCAAGACCTCTGCTGTAATACTCTGAATTTTTGCTTAGAAGTAAGACCCAGTGTGAGTCAGCATGGTCTGGTGGTTTGAGTGTTGGACTAGGACTCTAGTTCAACTAGCATCTTGGTCAGGAAAACCCACTGGGGGCCTCTGCAAATGGGCCCTTTGTGGTGTCCTTGAGACAGGGATGGGGAGGACCAGCCGCACGCCAGCCGCCGCAACCCTTCCTTGAGGACATCCTGATGCCATGCACTGTTATGCATGGCGTGCGGCATCAGAACATCCTCCCGGTGCAGCGTCTTGATGCGCTGTTCCAGAAGGGGTGCAGAAGAGTTGCGCAGCGGCTCTTGGGCATCCTTTTTGATGGATCTGAAAGGAGCAGCATTTTCCCGCTCTTTTCTGGGCCGGCAAAAAGGAAGATTGGGCATCCCCCCTAGCTGGCCTTGGGTAAGTCATGCTTTCAGCTTCAGAGGAAAGCAGTGGCAAACCTTCCCTGAACAAATCTTGCCAAGGAAACCTTGTGATAGTTTCACCATAAGTCAGACACATCTTGAAGGCACACAACAACACCAAAGGCCCAGTGTGTTCACTTGGGTTTTCTCCTAGATAGGAGTGTCCTGGACTAAGCATTAAACTACAAATACTTAGATATTAAAATAAACAAGTGTTTGCAAATAGCAACCTTGCACCTTATTAGGTCTCTGCTTACTAGACAGGAAGCACATAGGGTTGCCATGCCAGAGTGAAATCTGCAGAGAGCTCCTGTACCTTTAATGGTTTTGGTACTAAGGCACCTTACAACAAATTACAGCTGAAATTGTATTATAAAAAGGGTTTTGTTTTGTTTTTTTAAAAAGGTAGAATTCTATTAAAAGCACGTTTAAAATATAAATATTAAAGTACAACACATGCCATTAAAAGGCCCTTCTGTCATGAGTAAGAGTCAAAGGCCTGCCTACATAAAAAAGTATTTGCCTCCTGATGGAAAAAATCAGAGACAGGGCCAACCAAACCTCCCACGGGAATGTATGTCATTCTTTTGTTTCCTGCTTTTTCTTGGCTGATTCCCACTTCCTGACTTTTCTTCAGATCCCTTATATGATCCATTTCCCATTAGACTTGCTAATAAAAAAAATATAACAAACACAACAGCAAGTTACCTTTTCAACAAGTAACAAGGAATGATGACAAATCACAGTTCAAACCTGATCTTTAGCAATGGGAATGAATTACTTTAAACAAGTCATTCTCCATGCTCTGCTCCCAGTAATGCTCCACTTTTATCCTGTGAGAATGGTTTACTTCCAGACTAACTGAAAGACAGTAGCCTTGTCTGCATGGGCCAAAAAGCCCATTTTCTACTCGGATGATGCATGGCCCAAACCTTGGTTCCAGATGACATCTGGCATGTCCAGCACCAGAATGGGGGAAACAACCTTAAAGTCTGGATCTTCCTTGACAATCCAGAACACTTCATTTCCATGTTGGGGTGGCTGTCTGTATGGGCATCTGGCTGAGCTGCTGTGATCAGTCGCTCACTCTGAGGTCAGAGCAAGGTGCCCAGCCATGTGATAATTGCTGGGTGCCCAATTCTGACCTCAGGAGTAAGCAACTGGTGGCAGTGGCAGATGCACTGGGTGGCTCAGCAGGATGCTTGTGCAGACAGCTGCCCTTGCATGGAGATGGAATGACAGATAACAGGGGGACACTGAGGCAGCTCTGAAGCTAGGATACTCAGGGCTGCTCCTGTGTATCCTGGCCAGTACAGACAAGGCTAGTAGAATCATAGTTAGAAGAGACCACAGGAGCCTAATGTGGTTCCCTATATGAGCCTGCCCAAGTTTTAATATCTTTTTGATCATCTATTCTTACTCTGTGTATGTGTAGCTTTAGAATTGTAAAATTCTGGAAGAGACATCAAGGACCATCCAGTCCAACTCCTTGCCATGCAGGAAGACACCATCAAATCACTCCCAACAGATAGCCATCCAGACTCCGTTTAAAAACCTCCAAAGGAGACTTCAACATACTTCAAGGCAGTGTATTCCACCTCTATGATTCTGTGAGCTTTTGTGACTATTCCACCGTCAAACAGCTCTTACCATCATGATCTTCTTCCTAATGTTTAGGTGGACTCTCTTTTTCTATAGTTTGAACCCACTGCTCTGTGTCGTAGTCTCTGGAGCAACAGAAATCAAACTTGCTCCTTCCATATGATATCCTTTCAAATATTTAAACATCATCATGTCATCCTTTAACTTTCTCTTCTCCATGCTAAATATACCCAGCTCCTTAAGCCACTTCTCATAGGGCATGTTTTTCACTTTCTTCTCAGCCTTCCCCTGAGTAAACCACCTGAGACCTGAGGGCAACCCAATAACTGGGTTGTTCCCCATCTGACCATCTACTAGGAGGCAGACTCAAGGAAACCCATCCCCAAGTCTCAGAATTTAAGCAAAACAAAGCCCCACAGCCAGCCCCAAAGGTAGTCTCCTTCCCTACCCTCACCCTAGGTGAAACTACTAGATTTTATGTAGTTTGAATCTATTGCTCCATGCCCTAGTCTCTGGAGCAGTAGAAAACAATTTTGCTCCATCCTTAATATGACATCTCTTCAAAGATTTAAACACGACTGTGATGTCACCTCTTAACCTTCTCTTCTCCAGGCTAAATATACCCAGCTCCCTAAGCCACTCCCTATAGGGAATGGTTTCCAGATCTTTCACCATTTTGGTAACCCTCCTCTGGACACACTCCAACATTGTTCTTGAATTGTGGTGCCCAGAACCCAACACAGTATTTCAAGTGAGGTTTGACCAAAGCAGCATACATTTGTGCTATTACTTTCCTCAAAGTAGATACTACACTCCTATTGATACAGCCTAGGATCATATTGGGTTTTTAATGCTTTTTAAATTTTGGGACTCCATATGGGAGAAAGCAATGTATAAATAAAATAAAATGATGAAGACAAATGTCACCCCTATCCAGGAAATACAGGATGAGCACCTCTAATCTAGAAATCTGAAATCCAAAAGCCTCCAAAACTGGAAATGTTTTTTCTGCCAGCCACCCACTTCTGCCTTCAAGGTGGTACCTGTGGTTCTTTTACTCATTCATCTCTCACATCCTCAGTCCCAACTCCAGCCTCACTTATCATACACAGTGCAAGTAGTGAAAAAATGAGACACCAAATTGGAGAGAGAAGCAACTGAAGAGAGACACAAGGATCTGTAAAATGGTGGGAGGCGTGAGCATTATACTTAGATTCTTGCCATTTCATGGATCCTCGGTCTCTCTCTAGTCACATCTATTTCCTGTCTAACATCCCTCAATTCTCTCTTTAGCCTGGCAAATACAGTATTTATGACACTACATGCGTTGTGCATTGTGTATTATGTGTATGCAAATACAGATATTCAAAAATCTGAAAAAAATCCAAAGTATGAAAAACTTCTGATCTCAAGCATTT